AGCAACGAGAGCCGCAGAAAAAAAAAGAAGAGTTAAGTCCCTACACAACTATACAAATCTCAAGCTTGTGGCTCCTTTTGATTCCAAGAATCATACATATCTCACTTATCTTCTTCTCAACTTGAAAACACAAAACAAAATTTGCTTATTCTTCTTCTCCATTTGTCTTAAAATCTTGAACAAGGGAAGAAACCAAAAAGGAAAGCTCTGTTTTATTATTTTCCGATTCTTATGAAGATACAGTGTGATGTGTGTGAGAAAGCTCCGGCTACACTGATATGTTGTGCTGATGAAGCTGCTCTGTGTTCTAAATGCGACGTCGAGGTTCATGCTGCTAATAAGCTCGCAAGCAAACACCAACGCCTTTTTCTCAACTCTCTCTCTACCAAATTCCCTCCTTGCGACATCTGCCTTGTAAGAAACCTTTTTTTCTTGTCTCTGTTTATGTCTGAATTTGACAGATTCTTTAGGAGTTTAGTAAAGGCTTTAGTGGGATCTTAGTTTTTGGATGTTTTAGTTTGCAAAGGTTTGATTTTTCTTAGATCCAATGGGTTTATTAAGAAACACATGTTATAAAGGTTGTTGCTTATGTAGTAAATCTCTTCTTTGTGTTCATGTTTTTGTTGACTTGTAGGAGAAGGCAGCTTTTATATTCTGTGTTGAGGATAGAGCTCTTCTCTGTAGAGACTGTGATGAGGCGACTCATGCGCCTAATACTCGCTCTGCTAATCATCAGAGGTTCTTGGCGACTGGAATCCGAGTCGCTCTGAGCTCGACTAGATGCAGTAAAGAAGTGGAGATGAATCACTTTGACCCGTCCAACCAGCAGAATGCGAAGCAGGTTGTCGCTAAACCGCCACCTCAGCAACCCGCTGCTCCTTCTCCTTTGTGGGCTACCGATGAATTTTTCCGCTACTCTGATCTTGAGTGCAGTAATAAGGTGAGAGAAGTGGTTTCCTAAATTGATGGAATACTAAATGTCTTGGTTAGTAGCTTGTTTTGACAAGTGTATACATCTTCTTGTTGTATTTTAGCAGAAAGAGCAGCTCGATCTTGGTGAGCTGGACTGGCTTGCAGAGATGGGTCTCTTTGGGGATCAGCCTAATCAAGAGGCTCTACCAGCAGCTGAAGTTCCCGAGCTTTCGGTTTCACATTTGGCTCATGTTCACTCCTACAATAGACCCATGAAGTCCAATGTTTCCAACAAGAAACCGAGGCTTGAGTACCGATATGATGATGATGAAGAGCACTTCCTTGTCCCGGACCTAGGCTAAAAACTATGGATGAAACTAGTAAGCTTATGTAACTACACACTCTCATCTATTTCCGTTGCCTTGCTTTCTATGTGATCTGATTTGAACCAGTAATAGAGGTGTTTATATGCATCAGTATACTACTTGCAATGGGAATGTGTTAAGGCTTGAACTTTGGGAAAAAAAAATCAGATATTTTTATTAGAAAGTGATACCTTGAATTGAAACATGAAGTCTTTTTAAATCATTACATTTGTAAGAAGAGAAACAAAAACAGAGCGGAATGCGAATGCTCTGTTTTTTACTCTCCTCGATTTGAACCATCCGAAACACACAAGAATACAAAAGAGAGAAGAAATCCCGTGAGAAATGAAACAAATTACGCGGTGGTAATAAGCTTCTCGTTCTTCTTCTTTCTATTTCCCTTCGAGAAAACTGTTAACTTCAGATTCTGAGGGAAGAGCAGGAATGGCTCCTTTTTTAGTCGTGGTGATTGCTCCACACGCGTTTGCGAATCTCAGCACTTTTCTCAATCTCTCTTCATTCTGTAAACAAAGAATCCACAACTGATTATTGCTTAGAAATCTCAGGACATTCTAACAAACAAGCATATGATGCACATTTTGATTAATTGGATTTTTCTTTCGAGTGTTATTTACCTCGAGAATGGATTGATCCTCGGCGATCTTGTTTAGAAGGGCACCAACAAAAGAATCTCCAGCTCCGGTTGTATCCACCGCGTTCACATGGAAAGGATCAACGGAACCACGGAAATTCTACACAGTTTGGTAGCTTTATGAGAAGAGAAACCCCCATTTTAATCGAAGTCACAAAGTCATTGACGCAAAGAAGTAAGAACAAATCATTTTCATGTTCATGTGATTAGGCAAATGAGAAAATTCAAAAAGTAACTAACTTCCTTTCTTGACAAGAAGAAAATTTGTCACATTTGAAAAACAAACAACTTTAGAGATCACGACTTCTAGTTCTATGACAATATGATTAAAGTAGTATTAATCATTTTAGAGGGTGGACGCAAAGAAATAATTTTTTTTAATCAAGCAGTTGGTGAGATCTACCAAACCTACTCAGAACCCACCAAATATTAAATTTTAATCAACTAGTGTGATTCTTGCAGCATTATTGAAATCCTTATTCTGACTTAAGACTTTAAAAAACAATTTTCTCGAATCTTTTCAAAAAACAGGTTCATAAAAAAGTTAACCCTGAAATTATATTCTATAGCACACTAGTTTTGCCTTCTGGTATCACCTAATGGACACAACCAAGAGACAA